TAAACTACATAAGCACTATTGAATTGAATTGAGGGGATTGTTTGCGTAGACATTGCACACACCAACCTTGTGTTTGTTGAGTCTCCCTTGCCGTTTGACTTTGTTTGTTTTGCACACATTAAACCTGTCTTCTTGCTTTCATATCTGTAGGTCCAGAACCACAGCTCTACAATGTAAACTACAGTCCAGGGGATGGAGCTGTGGGCTGTCCAGAGGAATATGATGAGGTGAGGTGCCACTCAAGAGGCTAAGCCGCCCTCTAGTTGTATATGTGGTCTAGTTGTTGTGTGTTCAGCTCCTACTGGTGCACACAACAGCCCAGTGAGAAGGTTACAGGCTGAACTTCATGTGCACTCTCACTCTTCCCACTGTAATTCAGCAAGTGGCTTGCAGAGCTATCATTACCACTCTGTGGATGTTCCACGGACTGAACACCCTGGTTTGGCTGATACTAAATAGCATCTGGCACGCTAGGTTTTTGAGTATCCTTTGACAAATATTGGATCAGCTGGAATGTGCTAGGAGTTTTACGTGTGTGTGTGTGTCTGTGTGTGTGTGTGTGTGTGTGTGTGTGTGTGTGTGGACGGACTTGTGTTTTTACAGTTGTGGTTAGCATATGTGGAATTCCTGTCTCCTCTTGTGCACGCAACTTGTATATTTAGCCATCATTGTTGCTGGCCTCTGCAAAACTGAATTGTTTCTGCTATTGTGTGCACTTTAAGCACTGCTGCCCACTGCTGCTGTTTCAGTGCTGTATGTATGTACTGTATTAGCACCCTCTCTTGGTATAGTTGACAAATGCAGGTCTGTGTACAAATGGATAACTTAGGCAGCACATGAAGCAAGCCTTTTTTGTAAGGTGTTTGACATACAAAAAAATAGACCTTTCTTATAATTCATAAAGCACCATAACGTTGTTGATGAAATTTCATATGATTGGAGTTACAGTAGGTGGTAAATGCTCTATATATTAAATTACGTTTCCAAATGAGTTCATCAAAATCTAGATCTTTCTCTCCTGTAAATAATGAGCTACTCAGCTCAAAAATAATTTGAGACTAGGTTGTGTTAGACTAATGCTCAACTACATATATATATTATAATATATTATAAACTGTATGTTTTGGTTCGATTCCTTAACTAAGGGTTTGTTTGTTACAGTTTGCTTCTTATATTAATATGGTCTCTTATTTAAATATTAAGTATACCTCAATATTTAGTCATATATGCAGTTAAGATTAAAACAGATTAACAAGACAAATGTATTTGATAATGAAATACGAAAATAAGAAATGGAGAGAGAAAAACATACCAGTCTGGCCCAAGACTGTGACGTACCCAGCCTTAAAGCATTTCTACACAAAATCCTCTTGTTTCTGTAGCTGCTGTTTACTGGAAACCTTGAAAGTGGAATTTTGGGGGAAGTTTGTGCATGTTTGAAGTAGCTGCCACACCTGTGTCCATTGCCTTGTTTTTCCCTCGGGTTCCTGGCAGAAAAGGGTTCCTCTCTGTCAATGCTTCTGCTGTTCGAGCCATGTTTGCTTTCAAAACAGGCAAGGTAAGGCTGTCGAGCTGATGCATGGCATAAGAGCAAGCCATGCCCTCCCTTCTGCCCCATTTTACCCTCACAAAATATTTTCTACAGTTTCTGAAAGTCACATTTTCACCTCGCATTTTAATTTTTAAAAAGAAATCTTACTGCAGCAATAGTGTCATTTCCAGATATAAAAACCTGTTTTGTTGTTGTGCCAGAACTCTAACACGTGCTCCTGCTGCCTCAACACTTTTACAACATAAGAGCACATTAGTTATCGGTTGGCACACAGTCAAACAGTTGCGGCAGGTTGTTGGGATGTACAGTGTAGCCCTTGTAGGTTGTGCAGCCTGAGACATGTCAACATGGCTTCCAAGATTTATACAGTCACACTGGGCAGGGAAATGAAGCTCCCAGGAGCCAGGAAAGATTAAACCGTTATTCAGCTGATCGTGTGCTGTTTTAACTCTGGGGGGCTAAAGGCTGGCAGTAGTTGATTGAGCTTTACAGCTGACTTCTTGTTACTCTTTGGACTTTGTGTCTGTCTCCACCCCTCTGACCACCCAGTGGAGCAGAACGAAGTGTTGCAGTATTTTCCATTTTTCCAACATACACACACTCTCACTCACTCACTCTCTCTCTCTCACTCTCTCTCTCTCACTCTCTCTCTCTCACTCTCTCTCTCTCTCTCTCTCTCTCACACACTCTCTGAGAGTGAATGTGAGGAAGCAGCAGTAGTAGTGAGTTATTAGGAGTTTCTCATGGCAGGCCAGCTTTCCTGTCAGTGAGACCAGACACACAGAATGGTTCTGGGCATGGTGGATAGCCCTCTGGGCCTTGTGACTCCTGACGCTTCATTTCTAATGGTACGTTATGCTTGCCAACATGACTCACCTGTTTCATTGCTGTTTTATAGCTCTGATACCCAATAATGTGTCTCTAGTTGCTGATAGATTCAGATGTTGTTTTTTGGCACGAATCAGACTGAACATTTGGTGTTTAGTGCTCTTTTTAATTGAACTTGTTGCTTGGAGGTGTTGATGCAGCAGACTTTGCTTGGAACAGCCATCATTATAACAGCAGATTGTCTCTGAAGTCAGTTTATGCTTTGTTTGGCCGTCGGTGATATTGGCATCATGACCAGTTGCTCAGATTTGATTCAAAATGGACCATTTTCAAAAGAGTCTTGTTTTTCACTCTCTCAAACTAAAGGTTTGTTAGGTCAGCTTTGTTTTTGTCTCATAAATGCAAAATAATCCACTTGTTGACATTTAAACATATACTTTAGACATTATTGAAAGTGCACAAGAAGTTAATTGTCTTATTTGTTGTTAGAATGAATAATACTTCTGTGTTTGTGCAATATTGGATTCAAAAGCCATGTTATTCTTTTAATCTGAAAATACAGGATCTTCTCTCCACTTAATCTTATTCTGTTTCTGCAGCAAAATGAGGTGACAGACAGTGCATATCTGGGCTCCGAGAGCACGTACAGTGAGTGCGAGACCTTCACTGATGAGGACACGGGGGCCCTCGTACCCCCTGAGATGCATGAGGATGTGGAGACAGACAGCGGCATCGAAGCCACGTTGCACGACCCTGAAGATAGCAGAAATAGGTTGGTATAAATTACACCTTCAGTCATACACACAGTGTCGGTTTTAGCAAATATGCTCCTATTTCCTTGGACATGTCTACACTGTGTCGATGAGGAGGCTGTCTGTGGCCCGGAATGACTCCCATCATACGTCATTAATTGTAATCCACTGGTCATGTGAACCAGATCAAGGTCGTAATGCTGTTGGAAATCGTTGCGGCCACAGAATTGACCATAAATGTGTGTCAAATCTCCCGCAAATGGTTATCCCTGGAGATGACCTGTGTTGGCCTTTCACACAGATCACATGGTTAAAGAATCTTGTGCTGGATCACTCGGGTTCTATTTGGGTCAGCAGACAGGCAGATTAAACAGGAGCAATGGACAGCTATAACTTTACTGACCCACAGTCTTGAATTCTTCTGATAGTGTATAGAAAGTCAGTCAGACACAGTGTTTTACAATGATTCTATTATGTTCCCATCCTCATACTCGTTCACAGTGCCCTGTCACAGTTTGAGGTAACATTTCACACAGTCAGCGATGACATTCACTGTTGATGTTTTCTGTGCCGCTGAACAAGGGGAGCTCCCTCAGACATAACTTGAAATGTGCACAGCTCAAAACATGAGAAACCTTGAACACAAAGTCCTTCCACTATTCCTCTCTACTGTCGGTATTTCAAAGCGGATGATCATTTGTATCGGCTGAGAAGTGGCCAAGATCTGCTCATCCTCCCTGAATCATCAGGTTGTGGCATCAGCTGGTAATAATCACAGCTGCTGAAATATGTTTTGTGTGTTCTATTCTCACTTTGCAGGAACTGAACAGCATGAAGGGTTTTCCAGAACGTTTTATTTCTTATGTTAGTTTTGGATTGAAGTTGGTGTTTGCACTGGGTAATATCCAGTTATCCCTTTTTTATATCAGTAGTACCTACTCGACGCACAGTTGTCAATGTGACTTTGTCGCATTTGTAGTCAGTTAATCAGTAAAGAACTTGATTCAAGTGTTTGAGTGGATTTGGCGGAGTGTATGATTTCATTCATACTGACTTGAATACAGACTTTACATGTATATTTTGATAAGTTTGAATTACCCTCATAGACGTGGTCACGGACTGAGTGAGTGGCTGGTTTTGATAATAGTTTCGGCCCTCAAGGGTAAACAGAAGGGCAAGAATTGAGCTGTTTGAATATCAATTTTTCCAAATCATCATTTTATTACTGCTACAGTGCTGAGAAAATGTTGCTTTAGTATTGTCTGTTTTGGAAAAGTAAACTGTAGAGACACTGGAATTTCAAATAAAGGGTAAAAGATACAGTACAATCTTTGTTAACTGTTTGTTTTCCAATAAGTGGAATGATGTTAAAAGTGTTGAGTCATTAGAGGACAGCAACAAACTGTCTCTTATTCTCCCTCTGTCAGTTTTGTTTTCATTAGACAGGTAAAGTGAGCAGAACATTTTATACATTTTATATTATAGATCAGATCATCTGATCATTCACCCAATTTCTCTCATTTTGAAGAAATTTGCTTCCATATTGTAATTACCTCTGGCAAGGGGGATATGTTTTCACCCCATTTGTTGGTCAGTATGTTTGTTTGCTTATAAGCAAGATTATACTAAAATAACTGAACTGGGTGGAATGGTCAGAGAAGATCACATTAAATTCGGGTGCGCATCAGGATCAGGGGCTGGATCCAGGATTTGGGGCAAGAGGGCGTTTTAAATTTTCATAGTTTTCCCAGGAAATACTTTATGGATCTTGATTTAAGGAATCTTTCATATTAAGAGGAATGATATCTATGAGTGTGTGCAATTTGGTGGATGCAGCTTGATTGAATTCAAGTTGTCTGTTTGGCCGTGGCAGGGGTATGCACCCTGTATATATAGTATACTGAGTGCCAGTAGTTTGAGCAATTTAATCTAAAGTCAGGCAACTGCTGCAGATGAAGCCCATGTATCTGCACGAGTGTTCTTGTTGATATAGCATGTAGGGCATGTTGGGAGGAAATGCAGAACAGTGAGACCTTATCTGCTGACTGTGTGACCTGTCTGTCCGGCTTGATGACGGATCGGAGCAGTCTGCCTGACATGGATGTATTTGGAACTTCCCATTCCATTACTGAATTCCAGGAAGTGTTGAGTTAGCTCTTTTTTTGTTGTTGTTCTTCCCTTTCTCTGTTCTTTGGAAAAGGGCTGATCGGATTCTCTCCGTTCGCCCCCCTAAATCTACCGCTGACTGGTACCTACCACTCTTACTGTGTGACTCTATGACCCTTATATTCTCTCATTTCAGCAGCGTGTTCAGTGAAAACTTGAAACCTCATTGCTGACTCACCTGCTAGAATGAAAGCAAAGTGTTTTGTCATTGACCTTCTCTGCCAGTGACTATCATGTCCATCTGTGAATCAAGTCAAGTTCATATACAAATCATGGGCATTTTTCTCTAGCTAGAAACGTTTAAATAAAATAATTTTAATATTCAAGTCAAAAACACTGTGCCATTTACTCTGCCATTTACTACCATCATAATTTAAGTTCTAAATGTTTGATTGTATTTGTGATCTTTTTTATAGATCTTCATTTATAATAAAGTTTATGGTAAAATTATAAAATATCAAACCTCAATTACATTTCTTTGATAATGACATCTTAGGAGTCATTGTATGTATGTTTCTATATATGTACTGTATATCGGCAGATATAATGGTATCAGAAATGTTTTTACTCCCTATATCAGTGTCTGCTTCTTGTTCCAAAATTCCATATTAGTTCGGTCTTACCATTTAGAGTGATTCAACATTGAGTGCAAGTAAATGTACAAAAAGGTAAGAAGCTAAACCAGGGTTTTGTTTTGCAGCCTGGTTAGCTGAATGAAACCTGGAGCTACATAAGACATAGTCAGAGTAGGAGAATAAGTACTGGACCAAGGATTAAGAATCTAACAGGATTAGCCTCCCCCACCCTCACCCTCCTTCCCCTGTGTTCCCGCACACATTTGGCCTTGGAAGGTCAGCAGGACTGTCTGTTGGCCGTTGCTTAGCCTCAAATCTGATTAACCCACTCACAGTCAACCCTCTCTGGTACCGCCTCGAGTCTTTTGGGTGGCACAGTTAATGCACCACCAGTCATGTGGCTCTGCAGATTGGCAGCTCATTAGGACCACCGACTTGGCTGATCAGACTCTGGAGAGTGTTGTTTTTGTTTTTAAATTGGTGTAACCTGTGAAACTTCAGGATTCCACTCTGGTTGTCTGGGGTTTTAACTCCAGTTGCTCCACGGCTTTCACGCCAGGGCAGCGGAGGCCGTTCAAAGATGCGTTCGCGCTCTTCTCCGGCCCTTTGTGTGGGGGACCTCAACATGGGGCCAATATGTAAGAGCCAGAGTAAAGGGTAAGTGGCTTCAAAACATGGCTTCAACCAGTTCAGGCTAATGTTTGTTTAGGGCATGTGCGCTGCTGAAACTGCAATGTTGATGTGAGTCTGCTTATTTTTGTGTAACGGTTTGGGATACTGTGTTTTCACTGTGTAAATTAAGGCAATGGTTTAGCTTTAGACAGATGGATGCTGTTTTTCTTGTAAACAATCACAGGGTTCTTCATGGTGTGCTGAGAAAGCAAACTTTTCTGCTGATTTGAACATCCTCATCCTGTGTGTGCTGAAGACATCTAGTATATCCTGTTGGACAGCAGGAAAGTATAGTTTTCCTGTTAAATGAAGATCAAGGTGCTGAAGCTGTTGTTGCTCTATCAATTTCACACCAAAGACTTCCACGTTCACCCAACAGCTTTCTGTCCTGTTGTGTAAGATAACCAGCCAATTATGAGAGCTGAAGTCATGGCCCTATCTCTCAGCACTGTCAGTCGTGGTTTTTGCATTACCAGCGGAGCAGAAGACATTTTGTTTCCGCCAGAGCAGCCTTTGGGATTAATGTGAATTAACAGATTACGTCTGAAGACAAGTGATCATTGAACTTGTCCAGATAGTAGGTCTTCCTGGGGGGGCGATTAATTATAGTTGTGTGGGATTTACAGTTGGCTCCAGTCATATCCAGGATTCTGGATCAAACACCCCAACCATCAACCAGCCTTTTTATACTTTATTACAGTTGTTGTTTCTAAAGCTCAAAAACTATAACATCATATTTTTTTAATGGAATCAGAAGGTGAGACTTGTTTGGTTTGGGTAACGTTGTGGTTTAAAAAAAAATGCAGGTTCTGTGTCTGTTTATACCCAGTTGGTTGTCCATTTTTATCTTTTCTAAACCTGTCGCAGTTTCCTCTTTTTTAGCTTGGACCTAAAGTTAACTATGCTGTTGATGTATACACAAGTAAACACAGGCTCGCACTAACACATTCATCCATTCTTCTGTGTCCATCAGGTTTTCCCTTAACTCGGAGCATCATAACCACTCGCTTGTGACGGTCATCAGTGGAGAGGAGGAGCACTTTGAGGACTTTGGTGAAAGCAATACCTCAGAGTTGCTCCTGGAGACCAGCGTGGAGGGGACAGAGGGGGAATGCGACTCACCTCTCGCACAGCCCCTGGAGCAGGTTAATGGCTCCTCACTTCTGTCTCCCAGGTACGAGCCCGACTTCCCTACACGGGGTCAAGATGTGATGAATAATGATATTTCTACTCTGAGAATGCTTTGTCCTTCAAAACTAGTCAGCCCAAAGATCATTTATTCGACGTGAACATTAATAAAATGTACTCTACACTGTGAAATCACAACTTGCTTTTCATCCTCCCCTTCCTGATAAGAGATTTAACACAGACACATTATCAGCTGCATTGTCCAGGCCCCAAATACCTCTCAGTTCGTTTTATTGAGAAAATGTTTCTCTTCTAACAAAGACACTGAGGACACACTTTGATAAGAGCTATCTGGAGACGGCCTTCCCCCCTATCTGCCTCCTTTTCTTGGTGAAGGGCAAGATAAATAGAGTGAATACAATCTTCATTTTTGCAAGCTTACTGTCACTGTTGCAATGATATATTAAAATGTAGATATTGGGAAAAACTCTGTAAAAAAATTTTTGTAAGAGTAAATGTTTTAAGGGTGGAATCTGTTACCAAAGAGTTCTGAGACAGGCACAAGATGTTGCATTGAGTTCAAAATCAGCCTTTGAGTTGTGGCAGTACAGATACAGGTTGTCTGTCAAACACCAAAATACAGCCAACACACTTCTTTTTATATCACAGTTCATTTGTGGTGAAGTTCTTTTTCCCAGTCACCTTTTTCCTCCCCCCTCCTCCTCTGTTTTCTTCTAAGACTCTAAGCCGGATAATTCATAATTCCCACTTGGGTGATATTTCTGTGATCTGCCTTGCCAGGAAGTACTTTAAAGCCAAGTACTTTTTGTAACCCATTGACAATATGGAAATGAGCTGATCATTGAAGTACGTCCTTTAGTTCATATGTACTGTTTAGAAGGAGTCACTATTAAAATGACAGGAAGACTATAATAGCAAAGATTACTTGATTATATCTAATATGATGCTTGGATATTAACTTCAAAGGTCCTCATGTGTAAGTTGTTGTTATGGCACAAATTATAAAAAGTATACATTTAAGTAAATTAATTAATTTGATGCTATATTTATAAAAAAAGATGAAACTGTATGTGACAGATTACATCTCATACAAGTTGAGCAGGAATCTTTTCACTTGTTAAGTTAAAAAAAAAATAAAACAAAAAAAACCCTGCATCCCACGAACTTCACCCACTCGGTGCGAATGCGTCACTGTTTCGAGCCGCTGTTGGCTCATGTAGCAGCGCTGCCTACACACACCCGCTCATTTATCTATCTACATATAACAGCATGAGCGCACACACGAGGGCTGCCTCTCTTCTATACAAACACACATCGCTGCAGTCATTCCTCAGGCTGTCAGTATAAATTGGCTCCGTACAACAGTGCATATGACCATCGAGTGACACTCGCTCAATGTCTGCCATGAAACGCAGCATTTCTGCTGACTTAGACAAAAAAACAGGACCAGTTTGTTGCATAATTCAGACCTGACTCACTTCCTGAATGAGCAAGCAGCTGGTAGAGGTGGTGTGGGGAGAGCATACAAACTCCCAACAATGACATAAGCAGCTGTTTTTTATATTCATTTTTATACATGTATAACTATTAAATGAAATAGTGAGCATTCTGCTGGTTATCTGAACTCTCACCAAGGTTAAATAGACGAGACTGTTTGGCAGCAGGGGAAAAACATCTTATCAGCTTAGATGAGATCAACACATTCCTCCTAGGATGTTTTGTTTCCTGACACTGTCCTGAAAACACATCACAACCACACTGCACAGTCCGTTTCACGTCTCCCTCACACTATACTCTTTCAAACTGTGCTGTGGATTTCACTAACACTCCTTGCACCTTCAGGCTCTGGTATTAACAACCCTCTCAGGTGATCCGATCATAAGTGGACAGCTCGAGATACAGGTGTGAACGCAATGAGGATGCATTTGAGATCCTATCATTCAGAGTTGGTGTTTGACGCCTGTGGCCACATTCTTTTCGCTCTTTGCAAATGCATCCTGAGCCACGTATGAAGAAGCGCCCACTCATCTGACATTCTCTAACTCGCTACAGTTTCATAATGAACCAGAAGTATTTTTACACATCTCATCATTTCACATACACTGATATATTTGTGGCTACTGCACAATATCAACACTGATCGCCACATCTTGTTTTATCAATTCATCCAGGGCCCAGGGAAATGCAGTGTCAAATCTGGAGTGATTTGGACACACGATACACTCAATATTAATAAACATTAAATAAACAGTGCTCTGTAGCAGCGGTGGCCGGGACTCATCAATATAAGTGACGTTGCAACAACAGCTTGTTCACGACAACTGCATTGATGACTGACTCTCCTGTTCGGGGTTCTGCATACTCAGTCGAGCTTCGCTGATCTTTGAATAAACGGGTCACGAGCTCTTTGTGCCGCAGCTGTGACGCAGATTAATGGTGTGGACTGAGTCCTGCAGCCAGTTCTGCTCAATTACAGCAGGTCACTTTTGAAGTTCTACACTCAGCCCCTTCTGGCTCTGTTATCTCTCCCTCACGCTGACACACACACACTAACACATTGACAATGGATCTATCTGAATAGTCAGACTGGCTAAAAATATCATTTGTTAGTTCGAATGACGTACGTGTTTATTTGCACATCGAGCTGTGAAGTGTGTTGTGATCACAAGTAGTCACAGGAGACGCTCTAATTCCGGGTGTAAACTAAACTTGGAGCTGCCCACTTCTCATTGAATCACCTCAGACTGATCTTAAGACCAGGTGTTACCAGGACCTCAGAGGTGTCCTTTCCCACCGCAGTGCACCCCCCCACACCTCTCTCACCTTCTTGTCCGTCACTCACCACTTCCTCCTCCTCTTCCTCCTTGTTTCCTCTTTCCAGCGCACCTGCTCCTCTCCCTGACTGCTTTCAGAGCTTCCTCAGGGAGGAAGCGCTGGACTTTTTCTGTAGCCAGTGTCACAAACAAATAAGTCGTCTCGAGGACCTCTCCACCCGCCTCAATTTCCTAGAGATGACTAGGTAACAAATCATTCACAACCCGCAACGATTCCAAGCTGTGTGAATGTGTTTGCAGTGCTCAATAGACATGTTCTCATAATGCGTGCATGTTGAACTAGCAACAACATGGTGTGTGTTTTGTTATGGACTGCACATTCACACACAATCACATTGTGGTGTATTTTGTGGGTTGTTTTAGGCCCTTCATACCTCACACTGTTGGCAGTCTGTCTATCATCTGCACCCTGTTTTTGCAGTGTTAGCATTTATTGATGGAAAATTTCACTTAAGGAATTTCAGTGGCTACTTTGCACCTTTTACATGGTGGATGCTGGTTCCTTCCCATTGTTTCCATCTTTACAAATTATAATTTGTCAATCATACAATACATTTATCTGAAATTTTACATTTTAAGATAAATAGATTAGTTATTCCTGTTAGTTAGTTAGTTAGTTTGAAAGATGTTGCAGAAATAGGAAACGCTGGGTATCCCAGGTGAGTATTGTCTGTTTCAGTATTTTGTGTTCATTTCATTACCTTCATACTTCAGGTTGCCAGCTTGTAGTGAAGTAAAACTTTAAAAAAAACAGCTTTTATCGGAACAAACTTGCTGATCCAGGATTACTGACCAGTAGCTGTATTACTGAAAGCTAGCAACTGTGAAATCCGATTTCATCTGCTTACCACTTTGTAAATCTGAGACAGGGCATAGGTCACATCGGAACTCTAAAATATGAGATAACTAACTTTAAAATTCAGAAATCTATAAAACATCAAATTGAGATACAGTTTTGGAAGTTTCTATGATCCAATCTGTCACAGGTCAAAACTAATCCTTGATCAGACTTTGTATAGCTTTATTTGCTGCTGTGTGTGTTAGATTGCTGTGATGTGTGAACATTTTGTAGTGGATGTTTTGCTGTAAATGTACCCAGCACAACAGAGAGGGCCTGGGGTCGGTTAAGAGGACCATCAGGAGATGGTGTCTCTTTCCTCTATCCTTTTTCTCTTCCTGACCATCTTTCCTGTTTTTCTATTTCCCCCATCCAGTGCTGGTAAGAGGCTATCCAGCAAGAAAGTAGCAAGGTAATAAATAAATAATTGCTCTGATTTCAGTCATACTCATGGTATGAATAGTTTGAATAAAATAGTTAGTTGTGTTTGGAATGAGAAAACCACAGTTTATCAAATGTTTATCAAAACGTTTTTTCTATCCACAGACATCTCCTCCAGAACAGCTCAATGACTCTGGACACCATGAGCGACTTAACGCGGGACATCCTGGAGCTCGCTGACAATGACATCACAGACAAGGTGACAAAGTTAACCTCACAGTTAAATCCCACTGGTTACATACATTCACAGTTTTCACCTGTTAAAGGCAGGAGGATCATTTCACATTTGCTGCAACACATTGCAGTTGAGTACTCTAACAATACCTTTTTAAGTTGTCTTTCGCTAACCATGAAATGTCTTACCTTTCCCAGGTGCTCCTCCTCGAGCGCCGAGTGGCCGAGCTGGAGAAGGAGTCGGAGGCCTCGGGGGAGCAGCATGCGCGACTACGCCAAGAGAACCTTCATCTCGTGCACCGGGCCAACGCCCTGGAGGAGCAACTGAAGGAGCAGGAGGTCCATGCGGACGAGCAGCTACAGCAAGAGACCCGTCGCCACAAGGAGGCGCTGAGCAAGCTGGAGAGGGAGAGAGGGCTGGAGCAGGAAAACCTGCAGGCCAGGTGAGCACTCGAGAGACTATATATACTAATATCTTTGGAGGCAAAATAAAAAATCTATATTTATTTATTGTACAATAAATCAATTTACGTTCTTTGCCTGTGCCACCTGTTTTATTAAATACAATTCTGTCCCTTGTATAAAAAAAACATAAAAAAGAATCTGTCATTATCACCCATTTACATTTTTGATACGTTGTAATTTCTCTAAAAATGTGTTTAGGTTTTGCTTGTTGATGTGTTTATATTTGATTTAATGATGCATTGAAAACACATTTGTTGATTGTGCTGCCAGTGCTTGACTAACTGTTTGTTTGTTGGAGTAAGGCCTCCATACTGCCACCCTCTGGCAATTAACTGCCAATGATCATAAGCAGTTTTTTATTGAATATTGTCAACCTCTTATTAGATTACTAAACCTATTAGATTCAGATATAACATTTATTTTGTGGTTGCACTCAAAATGCAGTTTTTTGTTGTGAATCTCTGATGTGTGTTTCTGTTTATCAGGCTGCAACAGCTGGATGAAGAGAACAGTGAGCTTCGGTCCTGTGTTCCTTGTCTACGAGCAAACATTGAGAGACTAGAGGAGGTGAGGGCAGTTTGTCTTAACTTTAGGCTCCAACTACAGTTGTTCTCATTATGTACATGGATGGCTCCTCTTTATCCTCAACTTTTTTGTTTTTGTTTTTTTCCCAGGAGAAGAGGAAGCTACAGGATGAGACAGAAGCCATGTCTGACAGACTGCAAGATGAGACGGAGTCCCGCAGAAAGATGGGTGACAAGCTGAGCCACGAGCGCCACCAGAGCCACAAGGAGAAGGAGTGCACGCAAGAGGTTGAACTGGTTCCGCTATTTGCAAAATAAACAATGTGCTGGACAAAATATATATTATAATATAGTGTAGTTACACAGTGACTGTGCTTTTGCCCTTTACCCCTCACTTTATGATTCCTAATGACTCAACCAACTGACGCTTCATTGTGTCTCTACCACAGCTAATTGAAGACCTACGTAAACAGCTTGAGCACCTACAGTTGTACAAGTTGGAGGCTGAAGCGAAGAGAGGGCGCTCACCTGGTGCAGGGCTGCAGGAGTATCAGACCCGCACCCGTGAGGCCGAACTGGAGCAAGAGATCAAACGACTCAAACAGGTAATATTCTAAAAATAGAATAGAAATCCTCCATTGTCATTTTATTGTACAAAACTTAATGAAAATAAGAGTGTTACTCTGGGTTGGTGCAGGAGTTCAATAGAACACATTCCAAATAATGTATGACGCAGTTAAAACTATCTTATATAGAGAAAAAAGAAAGTCCCATAGTCCCATGCTTCTTTACAAATGTTGTGTTGCATTGTCTCATTCTGTAACTATTCTGTTTTGACATGGAAGGATGATGTATCATTTGGCCTTCGATGTTTTGTGATGCCTTACATTTGCCTCCATCTCTCCAGGACAACCGCAGTCTGAAGGATCAGAATGACGAGTTAAACGGCCAGATCATCAACCTGAGCATCCAGGGAGCCAAGAACCTGATGTCGGCCTCTTTCTCCGACTCTCTGGCAGCTGAAATCAACTCTGTGTCTCGCTCAGAGGTAGGTTTTTAGAAAACAAACAAGATGAGCATATACATGACCAGTTCACCTTGTATTTGAATAATCTCCACTGACTTCTGTCTCCCTGTTTTCTAGCTGATGGAGGCTATCCACAAACAGGAGGAGATCAACTACAGACTCCAGGACTACATCGACAAAATCATTGTGGCCATCATGGAGTGCAATCCCTCCATCCTGGAGGTCAAATAGACTCCACACAGCCTGAGGGCCACTCAGAGAGGCTGTTTAAAAAATACTGGAAACTTGGCTGAAAGAAAACTACCCAGAGAAGATGTAAAAATATTCGGACATCGTTTTGGTAGAAAAAAACAACAACGCACTCAATTCATCTAGCACCCCCCACCTCAAAAAAGAAGGATTTATGAAGTCCATGGCTGTCAGTGGAAAAATAAGCTATTTTGAGTTAAACATCCCTTGAGTCTGTACTTATGTGTGAGTATATGTGTTTGCCCTCCTGAAAACACTTGGGTTCTGGTGACTTCCATGTATTTGGCTAGAGGGACCTGAGTCGCCCCCTGTTGAGTGAATGAATGTGTGAGAGGTCAGTGATTCAGAGAAGAAATCTACCCCCCCCCCCTCCACAAAAACAGTGTCAATGTTTGATTGAGCTAAAAACAAGGAATAACAAGACAATTATACCTAAAAGCCTTAAATGAAAGGTGATACATGAATTATACATACCATACTTGCCTCAGTTCAGTCAGTGGGCTGAGATCTCCTGATCCAGGCCGAGTTGTGTTTTCATCACAAAGCGAGGAAGCCGTATGAAGCTCTGATCAGGAGACGAGTAGGTTCCGTCATTAGTACGTTCAAAGCTTGCTGTGCTGCCTAATTGTCCCTATAACACTGTTCTGTCCTCCCAAGTTATTTCCAGTGCACCCAAGCAAGGGACATTTCAAGGGGCTGAGGAAGAGAAATGCCCGGAGGGGATTGTGTGTGTGTTTGTGTGAGGTGTTCTGTGTTTACTTTAAGGTTTTGAAAAAGCTCGGTGACACGAGAAAGCATAATGAGAATGACCCAGTCGTTCTTGAAACTCTCCCAAATGAAGGAACGTGGTGGATTTATAATGTGCTTCATCGTCTCATTTATTTTTACAATGAAACAGGGTCCTGGAGCTCAGGTGGGCTGTAGGCTTCATGTGGAAAATTGACTTCGTTTCCCATCACTCGCTGGCACAAAATCTATATAACTCAAACTTATGTCACTAAATCTATACTGACTGTTACTGGCTGAAACTGACAAAATTGTACCACCTCATCACTTTATAAAACTCTGCAAACACTTGAATTAAGCTTTAAGGGAAACTGATGAGTGATTCTGGGAGTTGTAGTTAAAGTTTTCTCAGCCCACCTGATCCCAGCGTTCTCTTGCTGAGTGAAAGTGACGGAGAGCATTCAGGTTACCAACGTTTTCTTTTTTTTTTTTCTTCTGTCTTTGCTGCACAAATGATTCATCGTCAGTAAAAATGTAACGCGTGACTGAAAACTGCTGACATCCTGGAGGTTGTACTTTGCACTAAGTTTTGTTTTTGATTTCTTTATTGTTGATAAAAAAAATGTTTTATGAAGGGATCAAATGTAAAATTGAATATATTTTGGAGGCTGCGTGAAGATGATAGTATGTTGGATTTGTTGCTACAGACACACCAGAGAAAGTCGGGGGCTGGTGTGTGCTGCAGGAGAAAGAAAAAAAACCCATCACACTATTCACAATGACATGTTGGAAATATACTACAAAATAAGTTTTCACTCAAATGCTATTTTTTCAGTCTTCATACGAGCTTCTTCCCTGACTATCGGCCAGTTTTATTTTTTTTCAGACATGATCTGTTTAGTGTTGAAAAGACAGGTGGACTTTAGGAGCAATAATCCTTGATGAGAACGTGGACATTAATAGAAAGCAGGTTGAATCAAGCAACATCTGCGTATTCAGACTGACTCTGTGCTTGAGCAGCCTCGACACTTCTGGACTCAGAAACCGTGTTGGATTTACCCACCTGATTTCTTTGACGGATTTATGTTCTTGGAAGTTGTTTTGGTCCAAACAGCATGGCGTTCAGCACCAGTATGCTAAAAAAAGGAATTCCTTTTTACCACCATGTTCACCTTCGAAATCGTCTCTCACTTCTCCTCTTCACCTGCCACTCCCTGGAGAAAAATGGCCTTGGATGTAAATGACTTGTACATGTAAAGTTTTTTCTACACTCACTCTAGATTCTAGGTATTTTTATAGCCGGAAGAGGAAGGAACATTTCTTTTTCTTGTCTTATGCTGAGAGACAGCTGCCTGTATTCTTCTCTAGCATGTAGCGTGTACAGTATCTGTTTATTTTTCTCTCCTTTTAAAATCACCCGCAGATATTTATTCATCATTCGACACAAACACAACTCACGACTGTGATCTGTTCCGCCGAGAATATATTTGTACATTTTTTGAATTTCACAAGGGGAGATCACTAACTCACGGTGAACTATTCTGTGGGAGAATTTATTGAATTAAGAGACACGTTTTGAAGTGTTATCGTCTCCATCGAATGAAAAAGCTTGAAAGTGACCTGCTCTCGAAAGGTCGTTTGTTGAGGTCGTCACACTCTTCCGTTACGCTGATGCGACTTTGACCTCATCAGGGTTGTGATTTATTATTTTTTAGATAAATGGCAGAGTATGCAGTTTCTACTGTTGTCTTCCCAGACGGAGTCAGGCACTGCATGGAAATAGATTCTTATTGTACTTCTCTGATTCCGTTGTTTGACCTTTGTTTTGACTGACAAATCATATGCTATAATATCCCATCAGTGGAGTCGTTGGTTGTGAGACCTTGTGATATCTGCACATGACACTGAAAAACCTCATATCCAGGCTCGCTGATTTCAGCTTTCTGCCTTTTAGTGCAATTGGAGGTTCACTTGTAACGCTTCATTTCTTTAGAGTAATGAATCTATTGTGCTTCTCTAAGAGGGAACACCTGACCACAGCAGACTATATCGCAGTTATTTCTCTCCCTGCTTCATATTTTATCGTCAGCTTTTGACAGATAGTTTGAGGACAACTGGCAACAGAATAACAACAGAGAGCACAGAGCTGATAAAAACATTCCCTTTGAGCAGAGCTGAAGGTGACTGCACTTTAACCAGATCCAGTTTCTATTGCTTTCAAAAATGACCAAAGACGAGATGTTTGAGCTTAAACTGATCATTTAATCTATCAGGGTCCGTGATCACACTTTTGGTAACACTTGTTCTAATCAATAATAAATTGACAGACACTCAGCTTAAAAAAAAGAAACTTGCCTGCTAGTCCAAACACTGTGCCTCTGTGTCTCAAACTTTGCCTCTAAACTAACCTGATGATGAGCCCTGGGAAAAGCACTGACCACACGACTGTCAGTTTGTTAAATTATAACAATGAAAACTTAAACTGTAAATATGAATTGTCTTTTTTTTTTTTTTGGTGGACTTTTCTTTTCTCTCTCTCTCTCTCTCTCTTACGGTTACTTCCAGTGTCCAAAGAAAGTTTGCTGAAGGCACAAACATCACTACTTAAGTAGTGCCTGGCTTGGGAAGATAAAAAGAGAATCATTGTAGAAAAGAGAAATTATAAAAGTTAAATTTATTCCTATTTTCGAAAATAAATGTATAAATTATAATGGTATTGGTTACAGCTGTATATTATTTTTGAAGATCCCCAATGATCTAATCCTAATTGTTACTGGGGAAATAGAATTTCAGTCATTGTAAAAAGAGAAAATTTAAAGGTTAACAGTGAAAGTAAGATTAGAAAAATAAATGGAATAAAAGCACCCTGTGTTTGTTGTGTCATTTTTTACAAGTCAAGTTTACATTTTACTGTGCGTTTGTCTGCTGTGTGCATGGACTGTGTGGATCCTGGAGCTTTTCACATAAATAAACATGCTCTTTTAACCACACAATTAATACAAGGCAAGAAGATCTCAGTTATTTTCAGTGTTGTTCTAAAGGATGTTAGTACGGTACTGTCAACTATTAACTTGTCAATATAGTAACTATAAGGACAACACATTCCATTATTATTAGTATCAAGATTATTGTCACTAAAATGTTATTTTGTAATAATATTAAAGTTAATAGGTGCAAAGCAATTGAAAATGAGTAACATTAAAATGATTTTATAAATGATACAGAAACGTATTCATTAACATAGATGAGTTGGTGTTGAATAAAATATTTATATAATTCATATTATTTTAAAGAAAGATGAGAATAAAAGTGATTTAAAAAAAATTATTTTTAACTTTATTTTCTAAATTGGTTCTAGAAATGTATTATGCTTTATTTAGCTATTTTGCACATGATTGTTCAATAAAAATATTTCTATCACTATCAGTCACTCCCATTAATATTCTTGCGCTATTATGGTTATTGACACGTGTATGATGGTTTCTGTTCATGATTATTTAAAGTCATTATCATAAGATCGAATAATTGTGTAACATAACGAACATGATGAAGTGTTACAAAAACGTTGGCTTCTTGAACGCCACACGGGGAACCATGTACCCGGAACCTTCTACTTCAGCTCTTTGCTCACCACGGACGTATTTTGACGGAGGACACCTCAGAACCAAGCGACGCAGCGGGAACAAAATGTCACAACAAGAAGTGACAGAAAGAACTGAGCGTTTTACATCGAAAAGAAATGTTTTAATGTCACAGCGGCTTTAAATAATATAAATGTAAGTCGCTTAACACAGATGCTAACGGCAGGCTCACTGTTATTCTCTAATACCTGTAGGAAACTGCGTTAAATTCATTTCGTTGACGATTTCTACGTTTTAAATCGTCATCACCGTCAACTACAGGGTTAAAGGGAGAGTTCACCTAAAATCATACTGAACCTAATTGTTCATAGCACCAGTGAAGGTCCAAAAGGTAACGATGCTATATGCTGATAGCAGTTTCAAGACAAACATGCTAACGTCTTATAATTATAACGCACAGATTTAGCTTTGAACAGTTAGTCTGATATGTGTGCTGGATTTTGAACAAGCTAGTTTTTCCATTGAGATTTATAATTATTTCTGTTATCTATTATTATTGAGTCATTGTTACACACATTAGACTCCACTTTATTATTTTACAGCTAATTTTGATCAGCTAGTTTCTTCTGTGTGCTCTTTTTAAATGTCCCTTTAATTCTAAATCCAGCTGTTATTTTCTTTTCCAAGATGGACTCTCTCCCCCCTAACTCTGAGGTCCGTCTGATGGTGGCCCAGTGTTTCCGCACACTCGCCACATCCACAGACGACAAAGACATTGTTGCTGCTCTTCGAACACTCCACTCTCACCTGGACGAGGGCCCAGAGAGTACGACCGGCTCAGCTCAGCGGGCTGAGTTCAGGAGAGCTCACTACACTCGTACCCTTCAGTTCCTCGTCAGCAACATCCAGGCAGACTGGGTGCACAGCCTCACAGCAGCCCAGCGCACAGACTTATGGGATGGCCTGTTTCTCCACGGGCCGCCAGAGCAGGCTCTGTTGGTGCTGCTGGAGGGAATAACAACTCTGAGGTGAGAACTGCTGGAAGAGGGACATTTTTAAAATCATTTTGTCTATTCCATAATAACTATGTAGTCCATGCAGACCCAGCATCAATCTGGACCACCTGGTTAGCATCACTGAGAAGTTCCTCCAGCGTGGTCGCCTCGCTGACCTGCTGTGGTCGTACTGTCTGCAGACAGCTCCCTCTGACTCCCCCCAGCTCAGAGAGACGCTGCTGGGGCGTATCGTGGCGCTGCCGGACCTCACCGCCAACAGGTTACATCCCAACAACAAGCAACTCTTTCTTCCTCAGCAGTACTACCCATTACTTGCCACAGAGATGCTTACTGCCCTGGAGCGGACCTGCCAGGCTCTCAAAAGTAAGGGAATGTCTGATTAGCGCTTAACAATAATTAGAGATGCGACATGTGTGTGGATAAACTGTGATTTTTCTATTTGTGTGTAACAGATGACACAGACTGCTCCTTAACTTTCATGGCTCAGACACTAGGAAAAGTGTGTATCCAGGGGCATGGCGGTGAGTTTTAATCACAGTGTGTACATAAATAAAAGTTGAAATTCCTTCTTTTCCTAAATCATGTGTCTACTCTCATAGTCTTACATAAATAATGTAACTTAAATAAATTACCTAGTGATAATATGTGAAGTTTGATAGTCATAACTAGCATCCATGTAATTCAATTTACCGGTAAGAAAATAAGGAAATTAAAAATGTCATGGTTGTTGACAGCAGATTATGGTGAAATAATCAGTTTAGTCAAACCAAACGTTTCCTGTCTCGTAGTTTATTGAATGATGGTTTTCTTATAAAACAAATGATTGGACCTCTGATTATTTATTGCCACATCTATAGAGACACACAATCCTTTATGTTCTTCTGTGGTTTGCGTTTCTTTTCTCTACAGATGTGGTCCTGGCAGTTATGGCTCCTCGGCTGTCTGCCTGCACGCACTCGGACATGGTGTGGCAGAGGGTTTGCTGGAAGCTGCTGGAGAACGTTCCACAGAGATGGATAGAGAGTGTGCTCACTGGACTGGTGCAGGCTGTCAGTGGGTAAGCTGGTTATAGTCTCACTCAGGCTGGGACACACTCATATGTATTATAACAGCCAGCAGTAAATCTGACCTCTACCTGTGTGTCTCTCGCCTCCTCTTTTCAGGCCTGAAGCCTTGGGACGGATTATTGGGAATCTAGTGTTAAAGAATAAAAAGGCC